TTTTTTTTTTTTTTTTTCTTTTCGCGTTGGTTGCAGTTACTCTCTTTGCCATGTTGCTTGTTGTAGGCCGAGCTTCAAAGCGCTCGTACCGCGAGGTATCCCCGCCAGCATACTGTGCAACGCAAGGGCTTAAGTCATAGCAGATAGCATCTTGTTACTCAATGGTGAGGAAAGGGGAAGGGGATACTTATCATGAGATGTACAGGGATTGTAATGGCACGTTATGGCTTTTTCTTCTTCTTGTATATCATGCAGCCAGCCCTTCATGCTATGTAGGGCTGTCTCACCGTGATTGGACATTATTCATATGAGAGATTCTCTTTTTCGAGGTGTCGGGCTTCAAAGCGTCCTAGCTCTATTCGGTATCAGGTTGGACCTTCATTTTCAGACATAGCTTGCTTCAGCATCTGCTTGAAATCTTGTCCCTTACGCCCTAACTCCGACACTCAGCCTTTGCAGTGCTACTTAGTTGTACGGAGCTGCGATGTATTTTCAAACCCATCAAGCATTGTTTTTGCCATGTTTTGCTTTTTCCGTCAGAGGAGTTCTGCCAGGTCTAAGAAGAGATGTTGTCTCGATGAGCCTAATTTCTTCTTTATGATCAAAGCGTGCATTTTGAAGTCTGACCGGCTTCGCAATTTTTGAGGTTGCCAGTCTCTGGCCACATAGGCATACATACACATGGCTTTGGACATTCTGGCACGAAATCATTACGGAATCAGTCGCAGTGCTGAGGAGAGTGCATTGGAGATGAAGTGCAGATGAGACTAAGTGGTCTAAGGTAGAGACAACCTTGACATGCCTTTCAAAGCAGCTGTTTCTCACATGTGCTTTTGGCTTCCTGACTTCTCCGCATCTACGCATTTTTTGCAGTGTGACTCCGCTGTTTGCAAGGCAATGTCGCGCGGTCTGACCCTCAGCCAGTCCGAGAAATCCCTAGGCGGTCGTGGACAAAGTACAGACAAGGCAAAGGACCTGGATTGCGGACAAGCTCAGTATTTGGGGTCCTTAGCTTCAAACTTGTTTCAAGCCCGCGCGAGACACTGCCCTTCACCGCTTGACTGGTCCTTGTGTACATGGAGGCTCCGCCAAGATCAATAGCCGACTGCATCAAGCAGTTCTGGGCTCCTTCATGGGATTGCTGCTAGTTGGGGGTTGGGTAGCTTCATCACCGGGAACGCTCAACGCAAGGTTTTGACCTACAGACCCAAAGACCCATGCCCCAAGCCCTCACCCAAAAACCCACCCTTGAGACCGCTGAACTCTACCTTTAAGATTTGTTGCCGGAGTTTCAGGTCCTCACGACTCCGCGTCGAACTCTCCCAGCGAGGCTGCCGCAGTGGCTCAGCAGTGCTGCTTGGAGTGGCAACTGCATCTGCTGCTAGGACTAGAGGGTTTAGGGGTTTAAATGTGTGGGCGCTGTGCGGTTTAGTGTTTAGGGCTTGCAACTTCCTAGAGAAGGACTAAGAGAATACTGGCCCAGCTATCGTGAAGGAGTCGTTTTCTTGTCAGACTGGATGATCTGCATGTAGATACTCTGAGGGCCCAGTGTTGAATGGTGTTTTGGGTGAACTGTATTTATCCATCGGTCATGGAACTTGTACCTGGAAACCAAGATCGGCTCCAAATCCCAAATACGGACAGCTCTGCCCAATCTATGGTGTGCATTGCGTGCCATGCTTGTCCGAATCGGGGAATCAAGGGGGCCCCTCACTGAAAGTGGAAGCTTGAGTGGTACTCCTTCACCACCTCCACACAGTTCTAACGGTAACTGACTTAATGATCCCGAGCTATTTGTAGCAGCAAGCAGAGACACAGTATCCCAAGGAGGGCTTCTTAGGCATTCTTCTTCCGAGAAGCTTCCCACGCTGCATGTCGTTGGAGCCCTCGCTGCCATGGCAGCCGCAACGACGAACTCCGGCACTGACCCGGCCCAATGAGGACTGGTGGCTTTGCCTGTGGGGCTGTGGTTTAGGGATCCCTGTGTAGAAGTTAAGGGTGTGCGGTATCGTCGGTCGAGAGTCTTGACCTGGAACCCTAAAATCCGCAGGCCTAGTTGACCAACTAACTTCTAGTGCCCAAGCTCTGGAACGTCCAGGCCTTTAAACTCCCACCCTGAACCCTGATTCCTTTCCCGAAATCCTACGCCCTATGCCCCACCTTTCGTTTTCAATCCTGTATGAACTGGAAACCCGGAATACAAAGGACGTCATGCTTGGAACCAGCCAGGACCACCGGCCTCGGCATGGAGAATTTTGGACTGCGGCCAGGATCTCTGACGCGTCAAAACAGCTTTTATGTTTTGGGACAAGGTTTCAGGGTTCAGGGTTCGAAGTTCACTGGTTTGGGGTTCGGAGACTTAAGCAAAACAGGGTTGGGGTTTGACATTCGGTGTTAAAAGCTCCATTTGGACTTCAATCCTCTGCGAAGCCCCATCTCGATGAGCATAAGTTTTCCACGGTTGAAATCATTCAACTCATACAATTACTTTCAGAAAGTCTCGCCAAACTGAGATGGTCGGGTTCGCAGACAGGCTTTTGAGCTGAAATCTCTGGATTGGTTTGATCCAGGTTCAGGGAATCAATTGAGGTGTCTCCCCAAAGTTTATGTACACCAGCGCTTCTGGCATGTAAGTGTGGCCATATCCTTTCTCTGTGGTTGAGCCAAGGAATGTCAGCATCTTTGGCCTGGCGGTTTGCATGTACTGCTACACCAGGTCCAGGAAGGCTGCGACGAGGACTGCAGATGCACGCTCTGGCATTATCCTTAAGGCTGGTGTTGGCACGTGAGGGGGGGAAGTGAAAGGGATGTGAATAGACATGTGAGGAATTGACCTTGGGATCCAGTGATCCAGACTCCTCAGGCCTAAAGCGTCTGAACTGCTTGCGCTGGTGGCAGTGCCTGCTTCAGCTGAAGGCATCATAATGTCCAGGTCAATCTGACCACTAGCCACCCAAAGACTTAGATTCTGAACCTGCTTTTCACATTCATTCCGTGAAGTTCCGGCATTCGACACACGGAAACCAAGAAAATCCCAATGCTCAAACTTAAGTAGCGTTACCACACCTTGCCTTCGAAGGAGGCCGAAAGCCACCGGCGTGTCGGTCCCGAGTGTGCGGCGGCCGCGCTTTGGCTTCCTCTGCGGCTGCGGGTGGCGTGGTGGGCGCAGGAAGGCTCAAGACGCTCAGATTGGACTTATCCCTGCAATGTGTTTGCAAACATGCCGCATTTTCTGCTATAGGATGCCGTTCTAAAGTTCGAGGAGTGTGATTTGTTTGTAAAATCCAGCCCTATGCAGTCTTTGAGAAGGCCTCTATATATCTCCCAGGGTCTGCATATTTCCCTGCCGCAACTTTGTGACCGCCCGAATCCACTTTTTCGTTTTTGTTAGTAAAGCTTCTAAGTAGATTCTAAGCCCGTGGATCAGAGACATGAGGATGAGAAGGTTGAGAAGATGCAGGTGGCTTGGTGAGTTCAGCTTCTTATCATTCAAAAAAATAGGGACCGGCGTATTTGGGGTTTAAGGTTTGGTTGAGTCTGGGGTATGGCATTTAGCTTTAGTGTTTCGGAGACAGAATCTTCAGGAGTCAGGGCATTTGTGTCATGGAAGCACCAGAGACCCAAGCTTCTCATAACGCGGAAAGTTCCACTCCCTGCTCCGCATCATTGTCAAGAACCAATATTTGCAACCCATCTGCGCTCCCAAAAGTTCCTCTCAAACCGACCTGATGCTTCAGAAGTCCCTGCTTGCCGCAAGCCATCGTATCCAAAACGTGCTGCAAGGTCAAGGAGAGCAGTATCTATGGGCTCCTGCTGGTGTCCTGCTTCAGCTTGCTAGGCAGGTGGTAGATCTGATGTGCCTGATGCGTTCTTGTACGGCTTTGTCTCATACATGCCACAAACCAGATTCAAGGGCATGGTGTAGCAAATTCCTGCGATGCCGTTCTTTGGCTTTCTATTGCTGCATTGCGCCGTCAGAGGATGTTTGCATGAGGGAAACTGGCTTCAGTGCTACCACATTATCAAAGCGTTGCTGATGTTTCGGATTTTGCCAGGATTCACCATGCCGTCGCCAGCGCTTCCAGCGATCCGGGACAGGTTTGTCTTGCCAGACTGGGAGACTGGGCCGAAGTTTTAGGTTTTGAGGTTTGGCTGCAGGGTTTTAGGTTTAGGTGCAGAGTTCGGTGGTTTGGGGTATTAAGTTTGAACCACAAGCTTAGGCCCCGCACGTACAATCCCAAGCCTTGAATCGGCTGTTTCATCCAACCAGCAAGTCAGGAGACGGGAGTGGTCGCGGCATCTATGTTGCCTGGCGCGTGGCAGAAACCCTGTCCCTAAACCCAAAGGCTCCAGACCCGCCAGACCCCTTGGGATGATTTGAAGCTGAAACTAATACCCGGACCCAATCTCAGTCTCGAGCAAAATGCTGCTTTCATCGCACCCTTTGGGATTCTATCCTGTTCCAGATGTTCAATTTGATTTCCCCCTGATCCCCTCAGTCTCATGCCTTGTTTCCTCAAGTGATGCTTGTCAACATCTTCTTCAATGAGCAGCTTCAAAAACCCAGTCTGTGGCAGGGTTTCAGGAAAGGTATTCTCACATATACTCACTGATGGGTGGCCCACATCCCCTAAACCCTGAACCATCCTAAACCCTAGACCCAGGGGGAGTTAAGGTCGCTAGGGATGCTAGCAGCTGTGTGGTTCTGGCCCACCCGAAGCGACGCCTGGGGCCGCACCACGGTGCTGAAGATGTCGTTGTCCATCACCGCCCTCTGCTTTTTGGTTATGTTATAACATGCTAGGGTTTAGGGATTGGGGTGGTGGCTCAGTTTAGAAGAATTTCTTCTGTTTTTTTCCCAAAAGGGTCCTGATCTGCTGGGGAATCTTTGGGGTGTAGATATGATGAGCGTCTAGGATCTTGTCAATTTTTTTTGCGCATACTCAGCAGTCAACGGGCCTTGGAAGTCTTTGCGGTTTTTCCTTTGGGCCCATTGGCACGAGAGGACTTTGAGCGTTTTTCCCATGGATTTCTTGGATCGTTGCGGCGACGTTAGAAGTCCCCCAAACAGGCTCAACCCTAAGACAACATCAGAGGGACCCCAATATAGACCCTAAAATACCTTTGAGAAAGGTACAAAAACGAGCAACCCCCTAAATGTCTTGACTTGTCACAGCTCCAGGCTTCCTTCTGCAGGCAGGTCTGCTTCGGATGGAGCCCGTGCTTGGATAGAATATACTTCATGTTCAGGAGGAGTGTTCCCCAGAAGGACCGAGTAAGGACCAGTCGCAGCCTAGTAGAAATAGATAGTAAATAGAGTTCTTTTTCTGATGACTCTGAGACCCAGGAGTGGTTCCATGCCTTCCTTTTCATGCGGCTGCTCACGGGTTGTTTTGCTGGCTGCAATCCGATCTTCAAAGCCTACCTGGCCGACGTCGTTCCTCCCTCAGAGCTCCCCCGCCTCTGGGTGTTTAGTGAAGAAAAAGTTTGTAAGGTGTTGAAGGGGCTATCGGAGATCTGTTCAGCACCAGCCCATGGTAATCTTCCAAATTCCCAATAGACATGCGGAAATGACCTGCCAGGCTTCATGGTCTGGCGCGAGGCCTCGGCCACCTTTGCTTTCATCGTGGGGCCTCTGCTGGGAGGCCTGTTGACCTCACAAATCGGGATTGCTGGGCCCTTCGTTGCGACCTTTGTCGCCCACGGTCTTGGCGCTTTGATGATCTTCTCAGGATGTGTGGAGGAGTCTCCGGTTCGGCTTCCTGACAAAGTCGACGAGTCTGAGAGGCATCAGTCCGAAGACTGGCCGCCACTGGTGATCAAGGTCTTTATCATGTCCTTCTTCTATGTGGTGAGCCAGACTTGTTTCTCGATTTTCACTCCACTTCTCCTCCACGACGGTTTCGGCTTCGGCGCCGAGGCTATTGGGGGCTTCCTAACTGTGGTCAGTTCGGGCGTCCTTGCTTGCCAGTTGCTCTGCTACAAGCCCCTTGAGCGCCGACTGGGCCTTGAGTACACAGGTGCCAGCCTGTGACCAAGCGTTTTCCTCCCGTTTCTGGTGTCTTCACAGAAAACTAAAAGGAGTAAAAAAGCTTGGCGACTTTGTCCCTTTAATGGATAGAGAAGTCTTGCCAGGTGCTGTGGGTGCCCTGACCATCATGATGGGTCTCCTGCTCATGGGCTTGCGAAATCCCTTCAACCAGCCCTATCTTCTGTATCTTGGCGGGGCCTGCTACGCGTTTGGCTCTGCTACCTTCCCTGCCACGGTACCCACGCTCTTGGCCAAGTCACCTGGTGGTTCTGTGTTTAGAAGACTTTCAACATTTGTTGGGGTATTCAGGAGAGGGAAGACTGGTGATTATTACCATTCGCATTCCTCTCAGGTCTGTAAGCAGAGATCAGCGTGGGAAGGTATTGGGCAGGGACTCACTGATCAACAACATCGGGAGAGTCGTGACCCCCCTGTGCCTTGCAGTTCTTTATGGCCAGTCACGTTTCCTGTGCTTTGCAGCCGGGTCTTGTGCATCACTTATGGTGATATTAATGCTTCTTTCAATACGGAGAGAGAAGTTGGATAAAGCCTCCAACTAAGCTACCTTCGTCATACCGATTGTGACGCAGCATGCTGCAAAATGTGCGCATTCTAGGTCCAGCAGGATCTGAAGCTAAGCGGCTAATACTTGGACAGACACCGTGCAAGCTTCCACGTTTGAAGCCATGACATGTTGTGGCACCGCGCTAACGTAAAAGCTGACTAATTTAAGCACACCCTGGGTGCCGAACGCTATGAGCATTCCTGCCCGACTGGTAAAATTCTCGCATGCTATTCACATTCGCATCCCTTTCAGCAATGTCCTTGCTTCTCGTTCCATAGTTCTGCTGCTAGGACAACACAAGCCGTTTGAGCCCCTAGATTGCTTCCAGGGCAACCAGAACAACCCATAATTTGAAGAACCTCGAAATCATTCCCTCACTTTCCATTTCGGTGTCTAGCCCTCGGCCACCTCAACTTCCTGGAGAGGTCTGGGAGATCTTTTTTTGATAGTTGTACATGCTTACCGGGCGGCTGTGACAACAGCAGAGCATGCCACTCACCCTAAAGTGCCCTAAAACCCTTCAAGCCGCATGCCACACACCTTTCATACGCTTGATCACACCCTGAAGCTCCATGAAAATCTCCATGGAGCGGACTAAGTAGTGCTTACTGAGAAGCCTGAATACGCAAACTCTCTCAAATCCTGATCCCTAACCCTGACAGCCAAATCCCAAGAGCCCAAGTCCCAAGCTCCACATTATCACTTTTCCATCAACCCGAATGGCAAAGCATGAGCCGAAAGTCAGTACTTTGCAGACTTTCCAGCCTGAAGCCAGGAAGCAGAGACACCCTCTGGCGTCCCCCGCGGGACTTTGCCGAGCCCTTTGAAAGATGGCCTTGAGCATCAAGAGTATTACAAGAGTTTAGTGTGAGGTTGTAGGGTCTCGGGGAGTTTTAGGGGGAAGGAGCCTTGCATTTTTGGCGTGTTCAAGAAGGGACAGCCCTAGTTTCCGAAATGCTCAAATCGCAGAAGTGGTACTATTTCTGTTTAGGAGGATGTCTATGGTTTTGGCATTTCAAATTTTTGAGTTGAGCGTTTATTAGGCTCTACATGACTTTGAGCATAGTTTCCAGGAACAGACGCAGCCACCATGCCCCTGTGGGGGGTCATTGCACGATCTCCTTAAGCAAGCTCAGGGATGGTGGGCATTCCTCGGGCTATTGCCAGGATCTTTCGTGGATTTGGCCCAGTAGAACGCACGTGACCCGAGATCCTGATCCGTGGTGGTCTCTCATCCCATTAGGCTCCAACAGAGGTGAATTGGGATTCCCTTCCTTCCCAACCTTGTCTAAGCGTGCTCGCGTAGACGGCGTGAGTCCTCCAACACCCTTAACCTTGCGATTGTCAATTTCATTCATGGACGGGCTCTGCAACTAAGCGTGTCTAGTCAGCAATCTCATCTAGATTTAGACGAAGGGCTTTAACTCCACAATTCCAGTAGAAGAAGCTTTTGTCACCCTCTCTGAAGACATTGTTTTGAACGCGGGAAATGGTAGTTTCCCCAAATTAGTGGACCCTAACATAGACCCCAATATACGTCAATAGGCTATAATCCTTAATATAGGGACCCCAAAAAGGTACACCTAAATTTGGGAAATTCTGGACCCTAAACCCTAAATAGTAGTCTCCAATTCCTTTTCCATTATCCATATATAACCCCATTACAGCCCTTTAAAGGTACCCCTAATTTTGGGAAACCCTAAACCCCCAAACTCCTAAACCCCTAAACATTAAACCCTACACCCATGGAGAAGAAAAAGGGCAAGGGAAGACAGAGATGAGGATGGTGGCAAGAAGCGCAAGGAGCCACGCAGGCAGAAACAGCTGCGCACCAATATCAAACGAAGACGGAGGCTGACGGCAAGAAGGCGCAACTGGAGGCAGCGTCTGGTTGAGAAGAGGACATTGTTTCCGGATCAAGCCTTCACTCCTGCCCAGAGACATGCCCTCCAGGCCGAAGTTCGGAGGCAGCTGGAACGTCGGCCCATCAACGCTGAGGGATGCGGCATCTCCAACCGTGAAGGGCAAAGAATAGAATAGATGTTGCGGACCGAATGCCCCTTGGGCTTGGTGTTGACGACCAGTGCATTTGTCTACTCGATGCTTTCTGATTTCAGCGACCTCCTTGAGATCATAGCGATGGACCTCCTTCACCCAAGTCATACCACTTGCATTGAGCCCGAAATCGACAGCCCGGTGCCGGAGGACGAAGTGGCGGTTGAACTTACTGGCCGTGAGGAAGAGATTGAACGTGCAAGTGGATCAGGGACACCAAGGAGGAGAAGGATTTTGGGGAACGCTGTCGAAGAGGGTGAAGTCGAAGCTCCGGCTGCAGAAGCTGCGGCAGGACCAGAGGGTGGCCATCATGATCCTGAAGGGGGGCATCATGACCATGAGGTTGAGGACGCGCCGAATACAGGTGCTGTACAAGATGGCGAGATGGAACAAAATGGAGACATGGAAGATGTCATGGTGGAAATGGACTGCCGGGAGGGAGAAGAAGAGGAACAATGCGAGGCAGACCAAGTGGTCATGATGCAGGGCGATATCTTGAATAACGAAAATGGACGGCAGAAGGGAGACTGTCTGCGAAGCAGAAGGTGGACTTCTTGAACTTGTTCATCGACAACCTGGACGAGGGAGCTCAGGAGGGCATCCCGGAGGTGATATGGAATACGTTGAGGCAGGGCACAAAAAGCAAGCTGCCTGGTGTTCGGGAGATCGCTCACCTGCTGATTACGGCGGTGAACAACAAGATGGAGGTGACGAAAGTCCCAGCAGTGACTCCCACATGGTGGAAGCCCTTTTGGAAAAAAGTCAGGGCGGCGTTCAGGAGGGCAAGCACGACACTAGTGTGGGTGGATGACGATGATGCTATCCTCCTCCAGACGGGCAAAGGTGATGAGACGACGCTGATCCAAACGCATGTGGGCCAAATACCAGCGGCCTTTGCTTACCACCATGATGACAAGTATTGGCCGGCAAGGATGGTCAAAAAGCATTTGGAGACGTGTCAGGCCTCAGGAATGGGATGTGGTGCGAAAGCCAGGCGGCTCGCTGCCTGGCGCACAGCCTGGTGGATAGGGTGCCTGAAGCCCTTGGCGATCTACCGCAAATGGTGCTGGCTGTGACGGCCTCCTTCGAGGACAACATGAATGAAAATGACCCAGACGGCGTGGATGCATGGTGTCAACTATGGGAAGATCATCAGCATACTTGGATGGACCTGGAACAGTTCAGGGTTGGGACGTATGTTGCCAGCAACGGCAGTCAGGATGACATCAGAGTGAACGTTCAGACGGCCTTCGTGAAGATGGTGGCTGCGGTGCAGCACAAGCTGTCCATGCTGGAGCAGACGATTAAGAAGAAAAAAGAGGCTGAGATCAGAGAGGCTCAGCGGCGAGAAAAGAAAGCGTTCAGGTGAGGCCCAGCGATGGGATGACTGGGCAATGGCCTCAGAGCTTCGGGGTGGCGAAGCACCAATTCGGAAGAGGTTGAAGGACGGACGTGGCGGTCCAGACTTCGGAATCCTCAATGGGCGGCTCTCCAGGACCTACCTCGTCGAGGCTTACGCTGACAGGAAGGGTAGTGGAAGATGAAGCCATAGCCGAAGCTCCTGGTGCGGTGTCGGAGGCTCCCACTGTGACTCAGGCTGCCAACGGAGTCGATGCTGGTGGCTTGGTGCCAGCAAGTGTGGGTTTGACTGCCCTGGATGAGGATCTGGCAGACCAGGCTATGTCTGGACATATGGTGTGTCCGGGCGCAGTGGATGCCTGCAACGTGGGTGAGAACGGTTTGGAGCCTGACTTGGAGAATGGCGTTGGTGACGCTATGTTGGCTGGTGCTAGGCTCCAGGTGGGTGGCCTTGCTCATGTTGGCAATGAAGAGAATGCTGCAATCCCTGGGCAGAATGGAGACATGCCTGTGCTGTTGGTAACTGACAATGGTGCTGCAGTTGATGATGGTGGTGGAAAGGGAAGGGAGAAGGGCACGGAAGTGAGTGATCAGCATGCAGTGGTTGAGGTTGTGCAAGATGATGACGAAACCTTAGCCGTTGCTGACAATGAAGGTTGTTACTAAGCCCGTGAAGATAACAAACTGGGATGTCGTTGAGTCCATGTTTGGTGACTGTGCGCTCCGCAAACTCTACTGAGGGTCGATGTATAGATGTGTTTGTGCTTTAGGTTTCGTGTTTCTGTTTTCTGAGTGCTGCTTTGGACTTACATGCTTCGGCGGCGAGGTGCACTCCCCTAGCGTAAGCTTGCGCAGAAAAGGCGTGAAGGGGCGTTAACAAAAACCCTAAACCCCTAAACCCTAAACCACTAAATTTGGGAACTTCCCAGCATCTCCTTGAAAAGGTCGAGGCAGCGACCTGGCTCGGGCTCCGACTTAGGTCTGGTGGCCAAGTCAGCTGTAGATCTAAACTGCTTAAAGGGGGGTTATATAGGGGGGTTTAGGGATTATGTAGGGGATTACAGGGATTACTTAAGGATTATGAGGATCATATTGGGTTTAGGGTTCAGGGTCTAAACTCCTTTAGAAGGGTTATATAGGGGATTATAGGGATTATTTAAGGATTGGGTTTAGGGTCTAAACTCCTTAAAGGGGGTTATATAGGGGATTATAGGGGTTATCTGGGGATTATAGGGATTATAGAAGGTTTAGGGTTTAGGGTCTGAACTCCTTAAAGGGGGTAGGGGAGTATGTAGGGGACTGCTATAAGGTTTTTTTTGGGGGGGAGTTTATGGGGTTTAGGGTTTTGGGTCTAAACTCCTTTAACAGTGTTATATAGGGGATTGGGATCCAAACTCCTTAAAGGGGGTTATATGGGGGATTGTATGGGGGACTATAGGGGTCATTAACAGGGATATTAGAAGTTTAGACTAAAGCTCAAGTGAAGTGGTGTTGCCGTGTCTTTTGTTCGGCGTATAGGTTTAAGGCCTGGGGTCTGGGGATTGATGTTTAGGGTAAAGTTGCTAGGTAGCAGCTAGGTTG